AAGGTGCCGACCCTGGTGTTTCATTTCAAAGGGGCGGATTTGGAGCTCCCCGCGGAGAATTACATGATTGCGGATTCCAGCGTCGGGCTGGTGTGCTTGGCGATGGGGAGCTCGAGCGGGATGTCGATTTTCGGGAATATTCAGCAGCAGAATTTCATGGTGCTCTATGATTTGGCGAAGGAGAGCTTGTCTTTCACTCCGACCCAGTGCGCCAAATCGTGATCAGGCCGGATGTGCAGAAAATGATCGTTCATGTTGATGATTTCTTACCGTATACACGATTTGTTAGCCATGATTTTTTATTGCTTTTCTTCTTTTTTTCCCCCATTTTTATGTTCATGAGCTTACATCATACGTCATCATCACAAAGCATAGCAGTGCTATTATATATATATACACATGTCAATGAATACAGTTGCCTTGCTTGATCTTCACTTTTAATTATTCCTTACACTTCCTTTTCTAGTTTCTTACTCATGTCTTGTAGTTGTTTACCTGTCCATTTTTAACCAATCTTGTTTCATAAGGTTTTGGGCCGTTCAGATTGGTTTAGTCGTCATTTCAGCGCTAAGCATGATGTCATTGATGGTATTAGCTCAACTTCCACAACCTATTGTCAGTTTATCACTACTTTGATAACCCCACGTACGTAATTGGTTGTTACTTTTTCAAATTATATTTTGAAGGGCGAATGATAAGTTCCTCTCATGGTGGATGAAATGACTCATTTGTCTCACTTTGTGCCTTGTTAGATCATGAATACAAACATCATTGAAGATGTGAATTGTGAATGTCTCTCCAATATTATTTTTTAAGCGACTACCATGTAGTCACTCACAACTGTAAGATGGGTGTTGCGAGCTCCGACGTAGCTCTTCAACTTATGCGAGATTTGCTAATCGTCACACCTTCTTCAATCTCAAAATGGAGCATTTCATCATGGGAAATTCCGTAATTAAGATTAAATTTCCTATAATGATGCTATTTAATATGTATTATTAAATTGCATATACATTTTATAAAATCCACTAACCACTCAATCAATAGAATAGAGTGAGAATGAGCTATTTTTATAAACATATTTTGACTTTACACTCCTTCTATTATATTATTTCTCATACTGGAGACTATTTCTATCAATCTCCATATAAGTCAACATGAATGAAAAATACCTAGTACAACAAATAGTGCATATATTAAAATATTTTTTCGATTTGAACATTTACTTAATGTAAGCAACTCAGATTCTGCAATAAATTAGTGACGGGCTCAGGCTACAAGTCATGATTCAAAGCTAAAAGGGGTGTTACAACAGACTTACTTATCTATTCTGTAAATCACAATCACTAGCAATGGTCGCACTTTTATTGTCATGTGTTGATCTTGTTTCATGAGCATACACAATGTAACATCTATTTTTTTGAGCGGCACCACTCTTCATGCAATGAACATTATTAATAGTTCGATGTATAATACACAAAATGCACCACTCTTTAGCAATACCTAAAGAAAAGGTTGAGTTTAGATTACTTCTAAGTATTCAAAGGTCTCAATCCCATTCATGGGATGTGATGACACATAAATTATAATATTTTAGGCTATTTAATAACATGTTTTGCATAGTTTTCATATCTTTATTGTCATAATAGTTTGGAAGTGCTTGATAATTGCTCTAATGTGTTTTTAGTAGCTCCTAGGATTACCTTTACTACTTTGAAAATTTGAGCTCAATCCGAAAATGCCGCCATATTTATAGTCGACCGTAACCCAAATTGGCACCCCAGATTCCTTTTCGTGGAAGATCTAGATCAGCCTAGAATTGTGTGAATATTCCTTACTTGGAGGATGGCTTGAGATATGCTAGAGAGATTCAGAGAGAAGACTCTCCATACTACTTTATATCTTAGAAAACCTGATGTAAGAGGCTATAAATAGACTCTATTGTCCAACATTCGAGCAGGAAGTCATACAAGAGTTTTTTCTGCTGACAAAGCAACTTACCAGTCTAGAAGCATGCAATCAACATGCTCGAGGGCAGAATTTTACCAACAAATAATTATACTATTTGGCGTGTTTAGTAGCTCGTAGGATAATTTTTACTACTTTGATGTCCTCTCGGTAATATCTTATGTGTTTTTCATGCCAAAATATCCTAGTGGACCAACTTGTATGAGTGAGAGATATCAAGACCCAACTATTGGGAGTTAGAAATGAAGATTGGAGCTCAAACCCAAAATGGGGCTAGATTTAGTCGACGATAGCCCAAACTGGCACCCCAAACAACATTTTCTCAAAGGACCCAAATCAGCCCAGAATGGTACGAATATACCTTACTTGGTAGCTAAGGTTGAGATATGTTAGAGAGATTTGGTCAAAAGACTTTCACTCCTACTTTATCTCTTAGAAAACCTTATGGAAGAGACTGTAAATATACCCTCTCGATCATCATTCGGCCATTAGATCATGCAGAGGATTACTCTACCAACATAGGACCTCAGTAGTCCAGAAGTGATCAACGGGCTCAAGGGTAGAATGGTGGCAGAAATGGCATCCTATGCCCCATTTTACTATCTGGCCACCATTTTTAATGTCTTTGGAAATCTCATATTCAATACAAGTCTAGCAACAGCCATTCTGCTACGTGACATATCTAAGTTGTATTATTCATTGACCCGTGTGTCTCCCTAACACGCAACCCACTAGAGGACCTCAGTAGGGGGATGATATGATATCGAAGCATATTAAGTGGAAAAAATTCATTGTGGATTTCCTTAACCACGTATGTATATGTCAGTTATCGTATCAAAGCAAGTCTATAGAAGCTCTAGTGGGAGTTTGCCTACGCACACTACAAAAAAACTGGGCTGTAACGAGGGGCAAATGGGCCGACAGGGTGAAATCCAATCGGCAAAAGCAGTATAATATCCGCCCATCAGTTTTAGCGAGTGGATTCATTTCCCCTTGTTATTAGACATATGATTACCGTCGTTGTCGAATAGGAAAAGTTTTGTTTTTTATTTGGGCGGCTAAAATTTTCAGTTTCCCTCTCTTTTCAGTTTCCCTCTCTTTCCCCAAATTTTGCTTTTTATTTGGGCGGCCAAAGTTTTCAGCTTCCCTCTCTATTCCAAATTTTCATTCTAGTTTCGCTCTCTTTCTAATTCACCCTATCTACTAAGGGACTGAAGCCAAGAGAGTTTCGTCAAAAGACAGATTTTCGTGTGTTCTGTATCCTGCAAGAACATCTCTCTCGCTCATCGATTCATAGATGCTTCAGTGTTTAATGCTCAATAGGTATTAATCTCTCAATAATAGAGCCATCTAGATCTGTAGTTCATTATGTTAGGTTTTTGTGTGTTAATCTCCAGCTGCTTTCCCATTTCACTCCACGTCTTCTATCGATTCCCCCATCTTTCTCTTCTTTCGAAGGCTGTCTTGTTTCCCAATCGGCAATGTGGAGCATCAATTTCCCATTCTTAGATTCCTTAAGATTGTATCCTTCTGGCAAGTCTTGAGATGGGCTTCTTGAAAAACTTGGATTTTAGGTTTATGTATTTTAATCTTTAACTTACCCCTTTCATTCTATATGTTTGGTCAATTCTCTCATTTTTTACTTCTTCTAACCTTGTATGCCCTGCTTCCCAACTGACAGTGTATACGAAAATGGAAATTTTGTTGCATGTCAAGTAATGCGACTTTGAAAGGGGAAACATTTATATGCTCTGGTTTTTCTTGTTTCGTTTTTTCACTTTCATCTCAAGGTCGTTGATTTTTTTAAAGCTTGCATAGGCAATGGTTTTGGTTAGTTGAAGTGGAGGAAACATTGTTTGGGTTTGTTTCACTGCTCGATTGTTGGGTATGGATTTATTCCTCCTCCCGTGATTAGCAAGAGGAGGTCAACAGAGTGCTAATGATGCATGTGCAGCAGCCTTGGATTGCAAAGGAATTGGGGATGTCTTCTTTAATTTGAACTGGCCTTGGAAATGGACTCTTTCTCCCTGTCGTGTCCATAGAGGGAATTAATTAACGGTTGGGCTGCCCATCTTCATGTAATTCTCAAGCTAATATGATATATTTGTTGTTAGAAGGGAATTAGATATTGAGTATTTGGGAAATTGATGTGTGTGGTGGAATCGAGCATTGAGGGTATGTGAGGAAAATGTTTGTGCTCTTGCTGTCATTTTGTGCTTTTGCTTTACTTGTCTCAATTTGTTCTTATTGTTGGCATTATAGTGTTTGATTTTTTTTATATCGCATTGTCCCCTAATTTTGCTTTGCCTATATAATTCTACTTACAATCAAAAGATAATATTGGAATTTAGGACGCAATGAAGTCAAACAAGGTTGTTGGTACTTCTAAGAGGAATACTGTGAATTTCATTCAACCAAGTTCTTTGAGGAAAAATGTGAGGACTAGGCAGTTCTTTTCAAGTATATCTACTTCTAGTGGCGATTGCTCTCATCACACCATGGATAGTGGAGCTCCATCTAGAAGGGCACATGTTCTTGAGACATCTTCGAGTTCGAGACCAAGTAAAATCTACCACTCATGTAAATTTATGTTATCTGGTCTTTAAATTGTGAATATTATGATCTCATGTGATCTATGTGTGCAGATACTGGACCTATTGCAAGCACCAATGAAGATGACTTTGTGATGCATGTTGAAGGAGCCAAATGAAGTAGAAAGTAATGCACCTAGCTTACAAGAAAACTTTACTGGTTAGTATAGTAAGTCTGGTATTATCTAACCAAGGCTGCTTGTATATGTATAATAAGTGCACTTATCCACTTGATTTTGTAGAACCCACAGTTGTAGTAAAGAGAAAAGTGTGAAGCAGGAGCAAGTGTAAACGTGTTGGCAAACTCAGACCAGGAGAAAAGTTGCCGATAGTGTTCTTCCGCAATGGTCCAGTTGGGGTCAATAAGAGTGAATTTCAAGGTACTTGGGTAAATTGATCAGCAACAATACCATTTGCCTAGTTCGTGTGCACAGCTGGAAAGAAATGGGAAATGATGTTAAAAGTCATTTGTGGGCAGCTGTGATGGTAATTAACTTATATTAAAGGCTAATTAGTATATCTATATACAACTTTCCGCTTTGCGGTAACTTGCTTTTTGTATAGGAAAAATTTTCAAACCCTGAGATGGAGGTATATAAGGGTCATATGATCAAGAAGATGAATAAGGCGTGGACCAATTATAGGTGTGATCTCAATCGTAATTATATAAAACCTTGTGCTTCCCCGGAAGATGCTCTTGAAAATGTGCCTAGCTGGATACAAAAAGATGATTGGGAATGGTTGTTGAAAGAGCATTACCTAACTGAAGAGTTTGAGGTAAATATTGTTGAGCTCCTTCAATTAGTTTTATCATTATTATGGTGAGTGTCTTGATGCTTGAACATTTTATTCGTAGAAAATAAGTGTAAGAAACGCAAACAATAGAGCCCAAGGATCAATGCCTTGTCTTCTTGGAAGCAAGTCAATCGGAGAGCTTACATATGAAAAGGTATTAGTCATTTGGGATGATTTCAATGTTGTTTCCCTCTATTCTCTTCTGTTTTCTCTGTTTTGATAATTGTTAGGTTGGGTAGTTTGAATGGTGGGTTGCCTTAGTAGTCATGGTGCATATCTTAACTATGTAGTTAATTAAATTTTGTTTAGATAGACGAAGAAGGGAATGTTCCAAGTTTTGCAACCATGTTTTCTCTCTCACGTCAAAAAGGTGGAGCAATCGATCCTAAGTCTGCAGGAAAAGAGGTATGCTAACTTTCGTTTATGTCTATACAATCTAATATTGCTTATACTAAACTAATATAAGGCCTTGCAATTGTCAATAGGCAGAAATTATTGAAATTGTACAAAACAATCCAGGAATTGATGATTTGAATCTTGTGGAGAAATGCTTCGGGCCACAAAATCATGATAATGTACTCGGATTTGGAGGTGGGGTAACTGCTAAAGAATTAAGGGTTTCAAGTAAGGAAACAAATGTCGAGGTTGCAGCTCGACTACAACGTAGTGAAGAAGAAAAATCTGCTTTAGAAGAAAAAAATGCAGCTCTTGAAGCTGAAAAGTTAGCTAGTGCAGTTGAGAAGGAAGCACTACAAAATCGTATTGTCAATGTGGAGGCTAATTTTATGGTCCAGATTAACAGCTTGAGAGAACTAGTTTTACTCCAACAAGCTGCTCCAAGAGTTCCTCTAGCTACCCAAAATCAACCCATCTAATCAGGTTTGTTATGTTTTCTCATCCAATCTTGAATGTTTCAAATTTTAGACCTTTTCAATCCTTTTGATGACATGTTCAAGATGGCATAACAGAATCATGAATCAAGTTTTATAGAATTTGTCAATTTGTTTATTGTCATACTTGTAGCAGTTAGAACTCTGAGTATGTATCCATTGATGTAATACATGAATGTGATTTTATTATGCATATCTTTTCATTGAAATGTTTCTGCTGTTCATTGGCAGCATTCGTTGGCATCAGGCAAAGCTGTTTGTCTATATATACCTACAACTATCTGATATGAAATATCTTTAGAACTTGTATATTTTTCTAGCATAAGTTCAGAAGTTAATATTGGTTGTCTTTCGTGTACAGGTGCGAACTTATATGGTATTGGATTCAGTGGACAAAGCCATCATGGACATTCTGTATATTCAATGTCTTTTGAATTTTTAGCCAGGCTCTAGTTCTCATGTCCACTATTTTGTTTATAAGGTTACAATATTAAGAATACTAGGGGTGGGAAACGGTGCGGTTGCGGTTAACTGCACCGCAATTTGCGGTTAACTGCAACCGCAAAACACCCATATTAGCCAACCGCGACCGCGTCCCTCACGGTTAGCGGTTAACCAAAAACCGCAGAACGCGGTTAACGGTGAACTGCGGTTTCTGGTTGTAAAAACCGCAACAACCGAAACAGTATACGAAACCGCGGTTAAGCAAAGTAACCGCGAACTAACCGCACAAATACATGAAAAAAAAACACAGCAGCTACTGTTTTGTCTATTTTCACTTCCATCAAGCCCCTGCATCTGACGACGGCGCCAGAAGATGGGAAGGGTCGAAGGGAAATGGATTTTCGACTTTCGTTTCGTCAAATCAAAACGACGGCAAAAGGGAGAAGTGGGAGAGGGGCCGGGTCGGGTTTGGGTTGGGGGTCAACTTTGGGCTGGGCTGGGGGTCAACTATGGGCTGGGGCTATCTCGCGGTTAGCCTTGCGATTATATGGATTTTGCGGTTTCGGTTACGGTTAAACCGCAAACCGCAAAACAGTTCATATCTCCAACCGCGACCGCAAAATAGGCAAAATATGCGGTTTGCGGTTAACCAATAATCGCGCGGTTTCGGTGCGGTTATCGGTTTAACCGCGAAACCGCAACCGTTTTCCCAGCCCTAAAGAATACTTTTGATGAGAAGTCAATATTGTTGCCTTATTATCAAAGAATATATGTTAAATTTTATAGAAATTGTCAAGCTGTTTGTAAGTGATTATCAACTTATGAAATTATTAATATATTATTAGGTTTATATTATGATTGTTCGAAGCAATGTAATACTGACAAATAGTATCATTGGCAAAACACCCAATAGGGTCGTTATTATTTATTATTAATCATGAGGAGATATTCGTTATTTGATCGCTAATAACGACCGGATTCTATCCACAATATTTATCAATAACGAGGGGTGGGATGATACTCGCCCACATATAGTGACGGGGCTCTCAGTCGGCATTGCTCATAGGATCAGTGGCAGAAAACTATTTTCAACGACCGGAAGCCCACACTTTCGGCATAACTTTTAACGACCGGTAAGGAATTTCCCGTCGTTATTGGCTTTTACCGGCAAAGCCTATAATGAGGGGTCCTATACCATCGTTAATAACCTTTCCCTACCGTTTTTGGACAATTAACGACCGGTTTTGACCCTCGTTAAAGCCTCTTTTTTTTTAGTGGCAACACATTTCCCTATAATTTTCCTCATCTAGTAGAGTAGTTTAGATTTTTTTCCTTTCATTTCCACACAAACTAAGGGGAACCACAATCTCGGAGGCACCTAAACCTCTACAACTTATTTTAAAACCCAAGACTGGTAGGTCACTTAGTGACTGAGAAAGGATATATGAGAGGCCTGGGAGGAATACAATCATGATTACCTACGAGGTAAATTAGACCGTTGTTCTATAGTTGGTCAATTTTGGCACCCTTGCGAGGTATTCTCGCGATTTTTCGGAAAGGGAGTAACGTATGTGTTCTTTCTTTTATATTATTTCCGTTTTGAGTTTTTTTTATCAATTTTTGTTTTTGTTTGGACTAAAGATTTTTTTTCCAGTCATTTGTATTCGTTTTCCATTCATATTATTTCGTATTTTCTGTTTGGTAGTCTATAGTCATATCATTTTAAATAATTAAATCATTAACAAAATAGAACTCATTTGGCCAATGGATCGAGTCCAAAACTAGTTAATATAAACTACATGCTACATACTTATAACACTATGTATGAAAAAAGTTAACTTTCAAAATTTTCATCTAGATCATTAAAAAATGTAAAAAAACATATACATCAAATATGTATGAAAAATCCGTTGAAAGACGAGCGAATCAAAGTTGTATCACTAAATTTGATTATACTAATTTTTTATATGATTTCGTCGCTACTATTAGGGTTTGCAACAGGACCAAACTTATGAGAACCGCGGTCCATTAATGAAAGATATTTTAGAACCAAGGACCAAACCATCATTACATTCGGTCCATTTGGTTCGGTAATGTCCTATCCAAATATCAGCTCGATCCATAATTTCTTCAATAATTGTAAAATTCATGTGGACCAATAACCGGACCGCATTATACTCGGTCCGGTGCGATCCGGTCTACAATAGTTGTGTCCTGCATGGGCATACCATGTACTAACTCTTGGGACCTGGGGGGATAAGCCTGCTTGCTTGCTCCGGTACCGGTATGGGGAGGAACGGAGGAGCCGAGGAGTGGGCGAGTGGAGTCGCCAAGTGAGTGTGGGCGGGAATTTCCTGATCTGTGCTTTTGAACCAGCCATTCACTAAACGATAAGACCAACGAAACTGGTGGACACCAAATAACGGCCATTAAAAAAAAAAATTGGAAAAAAGAAAAAATATCAACGCACGAAAATGGATAGATCATAGAAGCGAAAACGTCGGAGCGTGGAGAGACAGGCAACGATACGAAGCAAGCAATGACCACCGGACGTATGACGATAGAGTTTCCGATCACTGCATCACTCTCTTCCACTTCTTCTACCTGCTGTTGCAGCAAATCTCTGAGCTACAGCTTCCTCGGGAAGACCGCATTTTCGCTGAACAGTAGTAGCAGCAGCAGCAGCAGCAATGCCGCTGTGTGTTTCTCTTCTAGATCAGCAAAGAAATGGAACAGTAACTCCGGAGGTGACGTCGATTGCGACGGCGGAGTTGTCGTCAAGAACGAAAACGATGAAGATCAGCCGCAGCAACAACGGCGGCGAGAAAAAGTCGGCGGCGGTGGAGAGGCGAGGAGGAGGCAGAGGAGAGTTGTTTGCGAGGTGGAAGTGATTTCTTGGCGGGAACGGAGGATTAGGGCTCAGATTCTGGTGAATTCCGACATTCAATCGATTTGGACAGCTCTCACTGATTACGAACGCCTCGCCGATTACATCCCCAACCTCCTCTCCAGGTTATACCTACACTAACACTTCTTTCTCCTGGAACTGAGAATCTCCTGGCGCCATGGATGAATGAATCATTCGTTATTTTTAATTCAGTGGAAGAATCCCGTGTCCGCATCCAGGCCGGATATGGCTGGAGCAGAGAGGACTACAGAGAGCTCTTTATTGGCACATTGAAGCTCGTGTTGTGCTGGATCTCCAAGAATTCCCCATTTCTGTAAACTCTTATCTCCCCTCACTGTGCATTACATTCCATTAGAGAAGAAAGGATTCAATGAAGCTAACTGATACGTTTGGATTCAGGCCGACAGGCACGAGCTGCACTTTTCCATGGTGGATGGGGACTTCAAGAAGTTCGAAGGCAAATGGTCCCTCAACTGTGGCACAAGGTAATCCAGCATAATCCCCTAATCGAACAGACTTGCTTTGTTATTTACCATCTACATGGTGATGATGTGCTCTGAATTACCACAGGCCTGGAACCACTGTGTTAGCTTATGAAGTTAGTGTGATACCAAGATTCAACTTTCCTGCCATCTTCTTGGAAAGGATCATTAGGTCGGATCTTCCTGTTAACCTCCAGGCCTTGGCTTGCCGTGCTGAAAACCAAGTTATGGCCATGGGCAATCATAAAACCAAAACTGATGAATTGTCAAGATCTACATCCGGGCCTAGAGATGTAGAAGAGACCTACAACACTGCAAATCCTAGTCCTGTGCCAGCCTCCGCAGGCGATATCAGTTGTAATTGGGGTATTTTCGGTAAAGCGTGCAGTCTTGAGAAGCGTTGCCTTGTGGATGAAGTTCATTTGAGAAGATTTGATGGCCTATTGGTAACTTGATTCACTCTCTGCCAATCACCATTTCTACTATGTTTAAGGAGACCTTATTTACTTTGTGGGGTTGTGCTTTATGTCATGGTTCTTCAAGGAAAATGGCGGGGTTCATCGTGGAGTTATCGCTAGTATAACCGTAAAATCTCCTCTTCGAGAAGTTTGGAATGTTTTGACTGCTTATGAGAGTCTTCCTGAGTAAGTATAGTACAGCTCCTTTGTTACACTCTACGGATACCATGCATGAAGATATCATAAATTACTATAGTTACTTAATTTCTGGCATTGGGACCTCTTTGTAGGATTGTTCCGAACTTAGCAATCAGCAAGATTTTATCACGTGAAAACAACAAAGTTCGCATCCTTCAGGTATAATCTATCTGATGCTTCTTGCTCAAAATCTTGGAGTAGAATGGCTGTGCGCTTTTCTTGGCTATGAATATAATGTCTCCTAAGTTTGCACTTGTCGATGACTACTGTGGTTCAATTACTGATCATGAAGTACACGAACCAATTTCAGAATGCTTAGGCACAATCGCTGCAAACTCCAGTTTTGTATGCACACATGTTGACGAATTGGAGGCGTTCAAACTAATGATTGCGTATTCTAGTTTGTATGATTCTGTAATTTTTCTTCCCGCAGGAAGGTTGCAAAGGTCTACTCTATATGGTACTCCATGCACGTGTTGTTTTGGATTTATGTGAGCTACATGAAAGGGAGATCAGCTTTGTGCAAGTAGATGGCGACTTTGACTCATTTCATGGGAAGTGGGTTCTAGAGCAGTTGGGAAGTCATCATACATTACTCAAATATGTTGTTGAATCCAAAATGCATAAGGACACCTTTCTCTCAGAGGCTATAATGGAAGAGGTATCTCAACTCCATTCCTATACATCATATTTAGTTATTTACAGATCTTCCATCAATGTACTCTCTTTGGATTTGAAAAGAACTGGATGTAGAATTACCTTTCTTTTTCTCACTTATATTTAACTTGAGAGTCAACATAATCTCCACGGCCCACCAAACCAATAGTACATTTTAAGATAATCACAAACTTCAGAATTGCTAGTAGCTCCGTCCCATTATTATGATCAGGTTATGTGCAATGCAGTGCCAGCATTAATTTGTGTCTCATTGTTGCATTTGAGGTAATTTCTTTGTGTTTAGCAAACTCCTCTATCCTATTAATGTTTACCAACTTTAGTTTCTGTTAGATATCTGGAGCAGTTGCACAGTGCCAAGCCCTAAGCACCATATATTTGGTTCTTGTTCTTAATTTTGTCCACTAATCCGGATGTTGAAACATCAATATTTTGTTATTGTAGGTTATATACGAAGACCTCCCATCAAACTTGTGTGCAATTCGAGACTATGTTGAGAAAATGCAAGCTGCGAATTCCTTGGAACCAGATGATTTAATCAATTACTCTGAGCATGAACCGTCCAGTAGCAATCACACTCCAGTGGAAGAACAAGTTTCAGATTCTGATAATGCAGTTTCTACAAGACAAAGGCCTAGGGTTCCAGGCTTGCAGAGAGACATTGAAATTCTCAAATCAGAACTCCTGAAGTTTGTATCAGAACATGGGCAGGAAGGGTTCATGCCCATGAGAAAGCAACTTCGACTGCATGGCAGGGTAGATATAGAGAAGGCAATAACACGCATGGGTGGATTCAGAAGAATAGCATCATTAATGAATCTGTCTCTTGCTTACAAGCACAGAAAACCCAAAGGTTACTGGGACAGCCTCGAGAATTTGCAGGAAGAGGTATTGATTTGAATGCAGGGCACCATAGAAGGCTGATTATTTGTTTAACATGACTGTTCTTATCCCCATTTCATATTCGCAGATTAAGCGATTTCAGAGGAGTTGGGGAATGGACCCTTCTTTTATGCCGAGCCGAACATCTTTTGAGCGAGCAGGTTAACCTCTACAGTAGGTAGCGTAACTTTGTTTCTTGACGTGATAAGTCACCTAACTTCATCCTTCATGGCAATTCATGACAGGTCGTTATGATATAGCTCGTGCATTGGAGAAATGGGGAGGGCTTCATGAAGTCTCTCGGCTCTTGGCACTTAAGGTGCGGCATCCCACTAGACAGCTAAATCTTGTCAGAGAGAAAAAGTTTGACCAGTGGCCATTGAGCAGTGCAGAAGTGGAGGACAAAATCTCTTCTACAAAAGCTGATGTATCTCAAAACACACAGAAATGGCTCACCAAATTGAAAGACTTGGACATTGATTGGGGGGCCTGAGAAAAGGTACATCTCCCTCTTCTCTCTTCTCTCATACAAACACACTTCTAATATCTAATAGATGATATATGAAAAAAATTAATTAATGCAAAAGACAAACTAATAGATACTCCACACAGGTACAACAAGGCTGCTCATTTAGTGACTACTAAGGCCCTGTCATCAACAGTTTGACTATTCGTCGACTGCCACGTTTGGTTGCTTATTTTTTTTATTTTTTTTTTTTTATAATGGTGATTGAAATATATTGAAACAACGAAACGAAAAAACACAAAGGTGAAGAGAGGCTCACAAGGGGACGAGCCAACTCTCCAGAAGGTCCAAACAAACAAAGAAGACAAAGGGAGAAGAAAAAGACAAACAACAGAAAAAAGGAGACGGAAGCAAACAGCCGAGGCCAGCCAGCTAGCCGAATGGGCCGAACCATTCCCGCTAGGGCAGAAAAACCGCAGCCTCCAAGCAAAACAAACAAGTCTCAAAACCAAAAAAAAAAAAACAAAAAGAGACCTGTGAGATCAGAAAGCCCAGAAAAACATCACTTAAAACCACTGCCGCACCCGCCGAGACCTGCTTCACAGAAACAGGAAGCGCCAGCAGCCTGGGTACATGAAAAGCTATGAGTTCTGAAGCTTCATCTCAATCCACTGCAAACCCAGGTCCTTATCTACCTTCCCAAAAGCCATTGCCAACTCAAAAGTTTCTCTTAAAATTTTGCGCACAATAGCTCTAGGTTGCAGACGCCTATCCTGGAAAATTCTCCTGTTCCTCTCAAGCCAGATATTCCAACAAGTCGCGTGAAGCACCCCGAAGAGAAACCACCCCTCAACACTACCATCAGGGCGGGAAGGCCACCTACTGATGGTAGTTAAGATGTTACTCGTGGGGCGTTCGATGGATCCGCAAGCCCTTTGCAGTCTGCTCCACACCTCCTCTGCGAAGAGACACAAAGAGAAGATATGATTGATGTCCTCTTCATCCCGACCGCAAAGCTCACACCTATTGGCAAGATGCCAGCCTCTTGCCTTGAGATTGTCCAAAGTGAGAATCCGTTTGTGAGCCACTAACCATACAAAGAAACATATCTTTGTAGGGATCAATTGCCGCCAAACAGACTCGAACGGGAACTCGGAAGTACCAATGTTATCCTCGTCAATCAAATGCCTGTACATGGAACGAACAGAAAAGTGGCCCTCCGGGCAGGGAAGCCAAATCGGCCTAGGAGGACCGTTAGTCACACGGGCGGAGCCCAAAGAAATAAGAAGATCCATAAGCACAACCCTTTCTCTCTCAGCCCCCCCTCTCAGTGAAATATTCAAAGGAACAGACCAAGTGAAATTCTCACCTGTGGGTTCTATGGCTTCAGAGACCCTGGCATTCGGATAACTAGAGGCGGCCGCAACTCTTGGGAAAGACTCTGCAAGTACAACACCTGGAATCCAGCAATCATGCCAAAAAGAAACCCAACTGCCATTTCCTGGATCAATACAAGCCATTCGCCAAAAGTTATCATATTCCTTAGAGATATTTGCCCAAACCGACCCTGAAAAACCTTGCCTGCTTCTCTCGGATCCCCACTCGGAATGCTGATGCGTGTATTTAACTGTAATCAGATCCCTCCACCAACTATCCCTCTCCGTTGCGAAGCGCCATAACCACTTCCCCAACATTGCTCTATTGAAAACCGCTAAGTCCATAATCCCAAGACCACCCCGGTTAATGGGGGCCTTGCAAATATCCCAACTCACCAGTGGAAGTTTCATCCTGTCACCCGATCCACTCCACAAGAACCTTCTTTGAAAGCCTTCGAGACTTCTGATAACCGAGGATGGGGCACGGAAGAGGGAGAAATAATAGATTGCCTGATTCGAGAGCACAGATTTAATCATGGTTAACCTGCCTCCGAAAGAAAGATACCTACCCTTCCAGCCATCGAGCCTCTTCCTGCATTTATCCACAATAGGATTCCATAGTGAAATAGCGTTGGGCTTAGCCCCTAAGGGGAACCCCAAGTATCTTGTCACCTCGTTACTCCAGTTGCACCAAAAAATAGAGGCAAAGAAACCAGGATCTGGGACATCCCCGACAGTAAACATAACTGATTTATCCAGATTAATTCTGAGCCCCGTGACCGCCTGGAAACAAACAAGAGTAGCAAGAATATTTACGACCTGCCCATACTCTGCATCGCAAAAAATTAAGGTGTCATCAGCGAACAGCAAGTGAGTGACTTCCCCCCCACCTCTCTCTTCGTCCATACAGAAACCCGATAGTTTCCCACTATCTCTGAGCGTAGAGATCATAAAGGAAAGCACATCCATGATCAGAGTGAACAAACCGGGAGACAATGGGTCTCCTTGCCTCAAGCCTTTCTGAGTATCAAAGTAGCCTTTTGATTCCCCATTCACGAGAACTGAGATTTTAGGACTGCACATAGAACCCTTGATCCACTTTTGCCACTGCTCCGAGAAGCCCATGTGAGATAAGATTTGAAACAAACAATTCCAGTTCACATTGTCGAAAGCCTTCTCTATATCCAACTTGAACATCAGCCCCGGTTTCTTACTTTTCTTCCTGCTATCAAAAAGTTCAAACGCAATCAAACCGGCTTCCCCGATCTGCCTACCCAAAACGGAAGCATGCTGGTATTTCGAGACAAGTCGAGGCAGCACACAGCTCATCCTTCGGGAAAGAACTTTACTTACCAACTTATTAAAACTCCCCATCAAACTGATTGGTCGCAGATCCTTAATGTCTTCGACCGAGTCTTTCTTAGGAACTAAGCAGATAAAAGAATGGGTGATACTGTTAGGCAAGTATCCGGAAACAAAGAACTCCCCGAAAGCAGTCATCACCTCGCCTTTAATCCAACCCCAGCATTTCTTGTAAAATTCCCAAGTGAAACCATCCGGGCCAGGGGCCTTGCCCCCATCACAATCTGCTATACTCTCCCAAATCTCCAGCTCAGTGAAAGGCCTGCACAACCATCGACTCTCAGCCTCGCTGATTTTGCTACAACTGTAAAGGCGAGGAAAAGGGCGGAGCATGATTTCCTCAAGGAACAAACCAGAATAGAAGTTCACAATCCCATTAGCCACATCCTCACTGCCTTCAGTAAGAGAACCATTGATTTTAATACAGCCAATGCGATTCACTTTCCTTCTATAATTTGCAACCTTGTGGAAGTAACCTGAATTCCTATCTCCCTTTCGCAGCCACAACTCTTTAGACTTTTGCCGCCACGAGATCTCCAACAAGTCCAACACCTTCCCAATCTCAACGAGCAAACACTCCCGCGAAATATATTCCTCAGTTGTACATTAACTGTCTATCATCTATGAAAAAAACTCAATGGCTACACAACAACAAAAGGACTTAATTTTGCTTTAAGCTATAGTCACAACTCAATGAACTAATTCCTACCCACGAGTGTTGCAGTGCAAAGAAATTAAAACTTCATATTTCAGCTCCCTTTCAGTTGTGGCTTCTTCCCCTTGAATCCCACTCTGACTGGCCTTCGATATGGTAGTTTAATTCCTCCTTGTTTCCGTAACATTCGCTTTCTCCCTAATTCAGAAGTTTGTAAGGTTTTGGATTTCTTTGAATTCTTGACATGATGCATTAAACCCTGCACCAGTGTATTAAAATGCTGCCCCTGGTTCTTTTCAACCAAGTTCCCATGTTTTTTCACCACTGCTTTTTCTGCATACAACTTGGGCTTGCCCTCATGGTGAAACATGTCCCTCAAAGGCTTCCAAGTTGTTGCTTTGTTCCCACTTTTGCTTTGTTTTCGGTTATCATGATGGTGATGATGGTGGTGGTGGTGGTGGTGGTGATGATGGTGAAAGATGAGCGCCAGCTTATCCTTAAACCTTTTAAACCGTCCAACTGCTCTCTCACGACGTGATTTTACGTATCTCGTGCTTCTGCTGCAGCTGTCTCCATCTCGATCATCTGTATCATGGTCACTCGACGAAGCATAGGAAGAGCCGCTGTTACTCTCCTCACCTGTACTACTGTTTTGTGATGCACTCTCCCTAGCGTTGTAATCTGAGCATGAAAAGTTCTCACTCTTGCTACTGCTGTTGCTCTCAGTGCTTATCTGTTGTCGACTTGTCCAATCATAGGAAGTAAAAGAAGAAGAGGGAGTGTAAGAACACGATCTCGCACTTGAGCTCCATTCCTCCTCTGAGTCATTGTCCTGCTGCTGAGATTTTGTATTGAAAGTCCTGCTCCTGCCGTGAAGATGGTCTTGGGCCTTCCTTGAAGATGGAATATGATAGTCAATCATTGCAGGCCTTATGGCTGTCGAATCCTTGAGATGTTTCTTGCGACTCTGTGCCTTGGCCAGACTATGATCATTTGGGTTGGGCATCTGCTTCTCATTGGTCTCCTTTGCTGCTTTCATGGTTGGAATTTTGGTGATACCATCCATCCTCGGAGCGGTTAAACCATCAACATACTGACATTCCTCCAACGGTCGAGATTTTGTATTCTGTTTCACTAGTAGCCTTCCTGAGACATTTCTCCCATTCATGGTGTCCCTCAGATGAGCAACATTCTCATCCTGGAATCCCTGTGAAGAAGATTCAACTCCTCGTGCTGGCGGCTTGGGTTCCTCCAACATTCGTTTCCCAATTGTTTGTCGACGACCGGTAGTCTCAACTTCCTGTCTTGTGTCGCTCACTGCTGGCATGGCCAAGTCGGCAGCCCTGCGTAGTTCAACAATACTACTTGCTTGTACTCTACAATCTTGACAACAGCAATTGTGTTGTTGTTGTTGTTGTCCTGGTCTTCCAAACCCATCAGCATAACCTTCGGTCGAGTAACACAGATTCGAACCGGTAAGCCAGGGTTCAGACGATGGAGTAACCTGGCTAGGTTTCTGCAGCCGCGGTTGGCTGGCAGTTGTTGCAGATGATGGCATGGGGTTGCCGACTTGGATAGAGCAGAGACGACATCGTTTAATCCGGGGTGGAAGGTAGTCCGAATGTGATGAGGAGACCGCGAGTCTGGACATGTCTGAAACCAGTTGCTGCTCCTTAGTAGTGGCGGGATCAGGGTGTAGACTGCAGAGCAGCGTGTTGTGTGGTGAAGGGTTCGATTTCGATACCTCGCTGCAAGAGAGGTTGTGATGATAAGCACTGTCGAGGAGATTCTTCAATACCTGTCTTGTTCTTCCATCCAAATCCAACTGTCAAACATAAACGACCACCCAAAAGGGAGAACGGTGATTCGTTCATTCTTAATATGTTGTTTGTTTAAGAATGCTGAGAGAGAGAAGGAAAGTGGGAGCAGCGTACCTGAAGAGGCGGAGGGAGGCGGAGGAGGTTGTACAAATTGGATATGGTTTCACGTTCTTCCTTCTTGCTCATTCCGTCTTCATCTTTGTCCTCGTCTTCCATGTCCATGCAATCAATGAAAATCAGTGGCGTCATCAGTTTCTATGATTTGTTGATCCCACGATTTCGTAATGTTGGGCAGCCAAAGTAACTTCGTCTAAGGATGTAACTTCCTCAATCTGTGTTTCCTCCATATAACCACCGAATTTGAAATCGGGAGGAGTCACATCGGTTCAATCTTTTATTTCCCACCAGCCTCAAAATCCCCAGAAGCTTTTTTAACTTTCCGTGAAAGTTCATGAAAAAAGAGATGTTGCCGTTAACGACGCAGGGCCGGTCGATCCCGTTCCTCGCCCTCGCTGGGAAATCATCCGCCGCCGCAACACTTAACCAATCACCATTTACCTGCCATGTGTTCTTCGTGCGGGCCAAGACGGTGGCGGTAAAATTAGGGATTAAGGTGAGATAATACTGATGATGTTTAGAGGCGGGAAAAGAAAAGTTGTTTAAAATTTTATAATTTGAATTAATATGGAAAATATTATTTTTTTTTATAATTGATTACCCAATATTTTCAAATTATTAGCTAAACCTTTCAAATACAAAATTTTAATGAAATATTAACTTTTCTCTTTTTTCGTTGGTGGTTGCACATTACTACTAGGCAAACATTAACTTTCCATTATTAGTTTTGTGAGTAATATTGACTTTTTTTTTACTGAAAACTTATGATTAGTAATATTGACTTGGTAACATAATAGTGATTTGAAAGATATACATGACGGTTAATATTACAAAATTTAGTATTTTAACTTAGAAATTTGTATATAGTGTAATTTATATATTTTGTAATATTATTTGTTCACTTATATGATTTGATTTGTATAAGTTGTAGTATTAGTTTGTAAACTTTTGGCTATTTTACCCAAATGATTTTTATACTATTATAAAATGTATCTAATTTATAATTTTAATTTGTCTACTTTTATTATGAAGTTTTTCTACTTTGCATTATTGGTTATATGCTTTATAATATTAGTGATATGATTCGTGTACTTAATATCCTCTATATTATTAAATTTTTACTTTGTACAGTACAACTGGTTTGTATACTTTATATTATTAATATCTAATGCTGTTTTTTATATTTTATATAGTTTTATATCTAGTTTGTATACTTTGGAGTATTGGTTTGTAATGCTACTCTTGTCGGCCTTGTACGATTAATATGATCGGTATATCATGTCTTTATGAGTTTATATTTTTATGATGTGCTTTGTATACTTTCTAGAACTTTGCTACGGTGACATGCATGTCACGGTGACATGCACTTTTCGGTCGACCTCATATAGGATCAGGTCGACCTAATAAGTTGTTTCAGTGTAAAAACAGTTTCATGGTGCCTACTTTGGAGATTCATATCTTACAATTGGCTAGATAGAAATTGGAGATTAAAGGCTTGTTTTGAAGCTGAAGTGTCCCTCTACACATTAAAGTACTTGAGAGCTCAATAGAAAGTCCAGAAGACCATTTTTGAACCTGACCAAAAGGCTATGCCAAAACTGGGAAACTGCCTGAAAATGGCTAAGTCTAGCAACGTGTTTGTCAAACCTACTTTGGAGCTCAATTTGAGAAGCATGGATGCGAGTCAAGTCCAGGGGCCTCTACCATGTTAAATTACGTATTTTTTTATACAAAGGCAAGGCATTGAATGAAAGATTGAATATCTTTAAGGCTTCAAACAAAAGGCTCGAAGTTGCTAAGAATGCTGTTTTTTTGGCAGCTTGCTTGTGCTCGAAGTCTGCCAGAAAAACAGCCTTCGTAGCAACTTCGACCCTTTTGTTTGAAGTCTAAAAGATATACAATCTTTCATCCAATTCCTTGAATTTGTATAAAAACATACCTAATTTAACGTGGTAGAGGCTCCTGGACTCGACTCGCATTCATGCTTCTCGAATTGAGCTAAAAAATAGGCTTCACAAACACGTTTCCAGACTTAGCCATTTCTAGGCAGTTTCCCAGTTTTGGCATAGCCTTTTGATGAGGTTCAAAAATGGTTTTCTGGACTTCCTATCGAGCTCTCAATCACTTCAATATGTAGAGGGACACTCCAGCTTCAAAACAAGTCATTAGTCTTCAATTTCCATCTAGCCAATTGTATGATATGAATATCCAAAGTAGGCACCATGAACTGTTTTTACACTGAAACAACATATTAGGTCGACCGGATCCTATATGAGGTCGACCGGATCCTATATGAGGTCGACCGAATTCTAAATGAGGTCGACCTAATCCTAACTGAGGTCAACCGGAAAGTGCAAGTCACCGTGACATGCATGTCACCGTAGGCACACCCTACTTTCTAGTTTCTAATATTAATATTTTTACGATTTGATTTGTGTACTTTGTATTATTAGTTGGTAATAAAAGTCATATAAGTTGGTATTATAAGTAGTGATTTCTTGTATTATTAGTATATTTTGTTTATAATTGTCACTATGATATGTGTATTTTTATAATGTAATTTGTATGCTTTGTAATATTAATTCTTATAAATTTGTGATATAGTTATATACTTTTATGATGTTGTTTGTATACTTTTATCATATGTTTTTATATCTTAAATTATTAATTTGTATACTTTTATCTTCAGGTTTTTATATTTTGCGATATGAATTTCTAGAAGTTTATCATATGATTTTTTGTTGGTAGTATTTACTATTTGTTGATATATTTTGTGTTATTGTTTCGTATACTTTTTATCACTCTGCTCTTATAGTTTGTGTTATTGGTTTGTATATTTGTATGATCTGCTTCTTGTAATACAGGGTTGTATATGTTAATGATATCATTTTATATTTTGATTTATATGCAATTTATTATTGATTTGTACCTTTTTTTATAATTTTTTTATCTGGTCCATGAATGTACCAATCCCATCCAATCCAATCCACTAATTCATGAATCTAATCCATTGGTCACCTCTAGATATTATGCATACAAAACATGCATAAAACATTTACTATACATTTTTTTACTCCGGTAAAAATGCACATATTTTATGAAATTGAACTAATATTTTAGTAATTTTTTAATAATTCTGTTCACTTCGAAACTAGCAAATCTATGGTTTGAAATATAAACTTATGGAGAACTTATAAACATACTGTCAAATCAAAATTACCTAGACGTATTAATATCCGGCCAACGGCTCAACAGTCGGGCTAAAATTCTCATTCTACACACGAACCTTAGCCCATCAGTTTTTTAGGCAATCAAACTGCTTAAAAATGAACGTTTCATTAGATAATCCTTGAGATATACACTTCACGAGATAAGATGTGAGGAAGGAAGAAGATACAAAGCATACAAAGTGCAGCCATAACAAGTAACAACGGCAAAACTGGGACCAAAAGAGACGACAATGGCAGCCATAACAACGCCGTCGTTAACCTAACCTTAATCTTCAGTATTTCCACCTCCCTGGGACAGCTGAGGTTCTCCTCCCTCAGTCTTCTATATGCAATGTCAAACCTATAGGCGCTATACAATAATACAGAGTACAATTGAGCCTCTCAGCCTCGGCAGGTTTTGTCCTGAGGCTCTCCCGATCCAAATCTCTCCCTGACAGTTTCCCATTTCTCTGTAATCCGAAACTGGTCTCTTCACAACTAAGATCGTTTTAGGTAGACCACCACGCCGATCCCTGCCAAGGCGCCTGCACCAGCTAAGAGGCCAAATTGGTAAGATCTCCATTGACTTGTTGTCTCCACTGTCGTTGTAACAGACTCTGGTTCAGTCTTCTGGCTCGAATCAGCAAACTCCAGATGCAGTCTCAAGGCCTGGCACCACAAGGTGTGATGATGCAAAATTTCAGAACCCATGAATGCAATATAATATCAATGGACTTCATCATAACATACTATTGTCAGAGGTTTAGGTCTAATAACAATAAAATCCCCATGGCAGTCATGTTAGGGAAGAATTTGGCACATCTTTCTTCTTATATGAGAGCTAGAGCTAATAAGAACTGTTTGCAAGAGATTTTATTGTGTTTATTAAAGCTCATCAACTTTGAGTTAGTAGACCTCATAGACTGGATGAATGTAGTAGTGTAGTATATCACTGGGATACGCATGACACTACCTTTAAACCTGCAGATCTAGCATGACCAACAGCACCTATTAAATCTGAATCTGTAGCAAGCAAAACCTTATCACCTTCATCATCTTCATACTGCAGAAAGGAGAAAGAATTAAGTATCTAGCAAACAGAACAAAGAAAAACATACTTGCCCATGAAAAATAAGTGTCACTCAGCAAAACATATCTCACCAAAAGATGAGGGTGATCTTGTTCTTCGGTTGCACCAATTCTTTGCAAGACAGCAGATGCAAGTTCTGCTAAGTTTTCGGTACCTGAGGGAAGTTCCGAAGCCAGATATAACATATCCTCAATTCTTTAAGTCAATGAAAAGCAAAGCAGAGGGAGAAACCCCAAATGAGTGAATGACCACTTACTACAATTTACTCGATGAACGTGACCTTTAAGGTCTACAAATTTGAAAGCAAAGGAACTCCCAAGACCGAGGGTTGGGTCGGACTTCCCAAGTTCAGCCGCTTCAGATGTCATCATAGCAGACATTTCACTGAAATTAAAATTAACACAAGATTAGTTGCAGAAAAAGCACCCAAGTTTGCGACAGAACAACAACTGAAGCAAGCCAGGGGAGAGAGCGAGAGCGAGAGAGACCTATGTGTCTCATAATCATCAGGTGGATCCGAAGTGAGCGCAGAATCCCAAAACTTTTGCATCATTGAACTAGCCATGTCGTTTACAGCTCCAGCGCTGCTTTCAACCTAGTAAATTATTCAGAAAGGTCAATTCGAAGGTTTACCAAGCACGGTTAGTGCTCCTATAAAATTTCATCAAGCAATGAGTACCTCCTCAAACAAGCCACCATGTAACTGTTGCAAAATTTTCTTCTTATAAGGAAAGTTACAAGTTGTATCATATAGCACAAAAACAGTATGCTCCAAAAAGAGCAAGCATCATAATTAGGTTAAGTACTTTCCTGGGAAATTTAATACTTCCAGCCCAAGTAGTAACGATTCTAATTAGAATTCAACTTGCGCCATATTAAAATTTGTCCACTAAGCCAAGGAAGGCAGAATTGCTAGGAGAATGAGCACTATATACACATATAACCTGTCAACTTTCTATGACCAGGAACTCGATACCAAAGGAAGGATGGTGGTGAATGGCTTTTTAACTTCTTCAAAGGTTACACCCTAACAAAATGTCGCATTTGATATATGAAATTACCATAGAAATTGCAGCATGAGTTATCTGCAGAACATCCAAGCATGCAGCAACCACTCCATCTGCACAGTAAATGTAATTGAATGAGTTTGCTAGACATTACAGCTTCAATTCTTGAAATGAAGATACTAATTCTGACCTTTATCGACAACAGGAAGATGTAAGAATTTTCCATCATGCATGATATGCAATGCATCAAGGATTGAAGTCTCCAATGTAGCACATTCAGGATTTGGGGTCATCACCTACAGCACAAAGCAAATCTTGAATAAATTAAAGTCCACAACATTCACTAGCTTAGCTAGCATGCGTGACAATATTTTGTGAAAGCATATGCGCCAGATAATGACAGTTAGGAACTATACACTTAAAGCAATATTTGCACTTAGGATAAGGACACAACAAACGCAAAGAATGATACAGTACATAATTGTTTCTAACCAAGTGAAGCAATTGTGAACAATTTACTTTCATAGAATAACTCTTCCAGGCATATATCAAAGAGGGAATAGATCTTTCATAGAAGTAACCATGTAGAGATTATACACCTCAGAAATACTCTATACTAATGTGAGTGCCATTAAACTCTATTAGACACTGATATCTAGTCAGCATACATGGAGGTGCAACCGGTCGCAAAAATATAACACCGTCACGTCTTTAGAATGGTCAAGATTTACCTTTTCAGCCAAAGTTAGCTCAGGAGAAAGATTCTGAGCAACTACCCGCATGAGAATATCCTTTGAGCTGTGCCACGAAAAAACATAAGCAACCAATATACCAGCGTAAATATCCAATCAGTACCTCTTGCATCTGAAAGAACTTAGTTGTATACAATTTACGAAAAGAAAAGGGTAATCAGAGTAACATTACGTTAGTATCCCTATAATTTTATTCCCAGTCGCCACAATAGCCGAGTTAACCTTCAAATCTCTCATCTTTTTGGCAGCAACAGAGACAGGATCCGATGGTGCCGCTATTGCAACCCTGAAAATTGTTAAAAAGAAAAAATTGGAAATCCAAATCTATACACTTAATAGAAAATTTCTACAAAACATAAGGAAAAAGAACAAATTAATATTAGAAATTACTTCTGGTCACCAATAATCGTTGATAAGGATGGCTTGAACAATTTTTCCTTCAGAGTTTCTATGAATGTTGGAGCTGAAACAAAAAGCACGGTTTTAAAACAAGAAGAGAATTAAATAAATTATCAGATAGAAGAACAAGAAACTATGCTGCCTTCTATAAAGAAGAAGATCATTGACTGCAAGCTCCGTGCTGATAATCAATGAATGCATCTCCTTTGTTGAGATATCAACAAACAAGTTCATGATACCACTCATGCTTAGCTTAAAAGATGGATCGAAGGATAGTTATTAACCAAAAAATGTAAAATTCATGTGCACCCACTCTTCCTATGTGGTAACATATAGCATTGTCAAAGAGTTGGGTGTTAACTGAACGAAAGGGAAAGAAGAGAATTGATACCCCAAGCTAACTTATTGGGGGAATGAAGAGGTAAGATGTTTGGGGGAATCCAGAACAGTAGATATAGTAGAAAGTAAAGTTTTATAGGTTTTACATCTCAGATAAGATAGAGTAAACCTAGTATCACCAAAATTATCGGCTACCAAGATTGTCTTCTTTCTAAGAGAATATAATATATTATTGCTTATGTTACATGCATCAACCACTCATTTAGTAAAGGAAATGGTTTATCTCAATAGGTAGAAATTTATGCTCTAGGGCAGCCATTCTAGTAACTATACAAGATAAGTATCGATGCTTCTAGGACTTGCTTAGACAAGATGAAACTAACAGCCTTGATTCCAGAATGCAAAGTTTGGAAATTTGTTGCTTGAGTAGCAAAACTGGAAAATGACGCTCTGGTTCTTCTAGCCTATTTTCATGCCAAGAACACCATAATCTCTCAGCCAGGATACCATTTCACATTAAAAAAACAGACCAATGACAATGCCAGAGACAATAGATTAAGTGCCATGTAGGCACATATAAAGGATCTACTATTAACATTGTCATCAACGGGAAAAGAACCAAGGAAAGGAATTGAAAGCATTATCCTCAACAGACTAACTCCATGTAGGAAGAATCATTAACTTGTGAACTAATAGTACGTAAAGGAGTTGTGTGGAAAAGATGTACAAAACAAACAAACAAATAACCAACCAGGAGCATTGTTTCCCCACTGTCGTTCTTCAACGGCTGCAGCGATTGCAGTTCCCTGCTCAGCTGCCTTTTCCAATCTAGATATAGCATCATAGAGACACCTTGTAATATCTAGTAAAGCAATAACTTCACCATTCTCCACAACTGGAAGGTGCCTGAACTTGCCTGCTCATAAGACAGAAGCTACTGTCGAGTTAGCCATTGACGTAATTGTTGAAATGATTTGAACTTTACAGGTGATCATGCAGCAGAAAGAAAAAAAAGATTAACATAGAGAGTTACTTATATAAGTTGAGCAAATCAAAATCCAATGATTAAGTAGGGAGGAGACTGACCCTGAATCATCTTCTGAAGAGCTTCAATGGCTAATGCGTCGGATGCAACGAAAATCGGATTCCTCGTCATAATCTTTGACACAATCGTCTGCTCTGGTCTCAATCCCTCGGCTATTACTCTAGCAGCGATATCCTATTAAAAAAAAAAGGAACATACAATGAAATGCAAAATACACAACAAGAGGGGAAACAAACAAGGAAAAAGATTCACAGGAGAAACCTTGTCAGTCACGATTCCAGAAAGCAATGCATTTGCATCGGTTAGCAAAACGGCGGTGACGCGGCGGGACGCCATCCTTCGACAGGCATCGGAGACGGTGGTGCCTTCAGGTATGGTAAGAGCTTTTGAGAGCCTCAATTTCTTCACAGTCCTCTCCCCGCCAGCAGACCTCCATAGGACGAAGAAGAAGAAGAAGAAGAAGAAAATTAAACAGAGAAATGAGAAAGCCCGGGAACAAATCCTCAATTTCCTGAATTAGAGATATCCAGGAGGAGCCGGAACTTACGAAGGAGAGCTAGGCTTGGAGGAGGTTCCATTGGCGCTGCCATTTTCGGAGACGGCGACGGAGGATTTCCTGGAAGAGGCCGACAGACCTCGTTTATGGCTCACGCTGCTCCGCCGAGGAGGCGGAGGGATGGCCTGACTGCTCATTTCTCCGACCAAAAAGAAAGAAGGTCGAGTTAGAGGGTTTTCAAGGTCCTCCCCTTCCGCGGCAGCTTTGGATGTGGTGCCGACGAGTTCTTCTCCGGGGGGAAGACGAGAGAATTGAAACCTGTGCGACCTGCCGTGGTCGTCGTCGGAGTTGAAATTTTTTGAAGGCGGAGGCCGCTGAATGGTTTCCTTTTTTTTCAAATTTTTTAACAGGAAAAAGAAATTTCCAACAATTTGGGGATTTTTTTGGGGATAGGAAAAATTATCGAGTTCCGGGCGGGGCAAAGTTTAGGCCTTACGTTGTCAGGGGCAGAGCCAGACAGAGCTACAAATGGGTTCGAGTATGAGCATGGTGCGTGCATTCCACGCCACTCATTCATTTCACTCGCGAGTCAGATGAGGGCGCTCAAAATCTACATTTTACAAAATCGGATCGCAATGGGTTGGGTTGGGGCGGGTTTCGTTAAACTCAAACCTAAATCCATGGGTTTATCCGCCAAAAAAATTCGGAGTAAAACTCGTTGGGTTTGAGTTTCCCAACCTGCTGGGTATCCGCGGGTTCATGGATACCCGTGGGTTTTTGTGGTAAAAAATTTACAATAACAAATTTCTTTCAAAATAAAAGTTTAACATCAATTTTCTCATACAAATTATTCATACAAAAAACACCAATCTAGAACATACAAGCAAACCGCAAATGATCAATATAAATTGTTCAAACTTAAAGACAAACATCTATAAACAACAAGATTAATTGAAATCTTCTTCCTTGTCAAATAAAATTCTTCACTCTCCACTCCATAATATCAACTTCATTCTAAACAATTAGAAATAACAAATTATACATGTCTCCACAAAAATAAATAATATTAGTTGCTTAAAGAAGATAGGGCTAATACCACTACAACACCCGAACTATGACAAAAATGTCACTTGTGTCCTATTCTTTTCAATATTCCATTCATATCCTGAAGTATATTCCTTTTTGTCATTTATGTCCTCCTGATTTCGTTGACCGTTAAAGATAACGGTTGACCTGACGGAGGTCAAACTTTTGTTGACTTCTGCTGACGTGGCAAAGCATGTGACATCCACATAGGCGCCATGTCATTGCCACATCATTTTTTTACTCAAAAGTATAATAAAATTAAATTATGATAATAAAAATATGATAAATTTTAAATTCAACAATATTTTAAACATCCAAAATTAACAAAAACAAAAAAAAGGTACCTCTCCCTCACCCAATACTCCGGCTCCTCCCACTCCTATTTACAGATCGGAAGAGTCGTCGTCGTACGAAGCGGGAGGCGGTAACCGGTGCGACGCGGTAACGGACTCCGCCCTCTACTCCGCCGGAGAAATCGCAAGGTTTTGTTACGGTGGATGGGCTTGGACGAGATGGGGATGAGAAGGGGAGTCGATGTCGGAGAGAGGGACCTGTGACGGCTTCCGAAAAGAGTCCCGGCGAGTAACCCAAAAGGGGGCAGAGACACGCTAAGCACTCTCTCACTTTTCTTGTGTTCGTCGGCAACGGAGGTGATCCGCCGCGCGCGAGAGAGGGAGAGAGAAGGGCAGGGAAGCAGATCTTCCTTCATTCCATCCTCTTCCACCAATACCTTCCTCTTTCCTTCGTCCAACCAATTCCAGCTTCTTCCCCTCCAAATTGCCCAAGCTCACCGACCCTCCAAATTGCCCGAGTCCGCCAACTCGAAACAGATCTGTCCCCTCCCCCAATTTTTTGTTTTGTTCTGTTCTGATATTCTTTGTATAAGCCTTACCAGGAAGGAATTGGTTGCTCAATCTCCTCCACAAGCAAACAAATTAGGGATTTAATTGCCCCATCTAAGCTCAAATCAATCCCGTTCTTGGTCTCGGCTAGGAGAGGAAAATGATGGTGGGGGACGCAAACGACGGCCAGGGAAAGCGAATGAAGGATGGCAGTGCCCTTCTCCTTCTCGAGCTCTTCTGGGAGAGGCGAATGACAGCGGAGGATGCGACGGTCGGGGAACGCGAAAGACGGGCGGAGGGGGCCTTCTCGTTGTTTGCTCTCTACCCAATGACACTGGATCCGTTCTCGCGACCAACATTGCAATATCCCCGCCGCCGCTCTCAACGAGGAAAAAGATGATGATTCAATCTTGGAGGGTAGCAGGCCTTGGAGCGCAACCACGGTGGAGGAAGCAGGGGTGGCGACCGGTCTCTTCGGGGCTGTGAAGGCAACGAAGGAAAAGAGAGAAATAATATTCTTTCTTTTATTTTTAATTTCTTTTTGATTTAAAATTTTTTTTGGGTACATATGGTTTTTTATTTTTTATTTTTTTATTTATATAAATTCCATGTCATATGCCACGTTAGAGCTGACTGTGTTTTCTGTTAAATACTAACAGTCAACCGCGGTCAATGCTAACGGAATCATAGTTCAGGACACAGATGGAATATTTGAAACAATAGGACACAAGTGGCATTTTTCGGATAGTTCGGGTGTTGTAGTGGTATTAGCCCAAGAAGATATATTATAGAATATTAAATATATCGGTAAAGTAATTATATGTATGGGCGGGCACCCATGGGGCGGGTTTATCTAAATCCAAACCCAACCCGGTGAATAGTGTAGCGGGTTTAAACCCAAACCCGACCCAAAACCCGTCAACACGGATTTTACCCGCATTGACCGGGTTGAATCGGGTGGGTACCCGTGGGTTCGGGTTTTGTTGTCATCTCTAATCTTAAGGTATATCACGGAATCGCTCCATTTGATTTTTGTTACAAATCATCGCTTGTTTTTTGGGTTTCCTGATGGATCTGACATTGTTATATTTGTGATTAATTAGAAAGTTATCTTAGTGCTTTTATTGAGGATTATTTATTTTTATATTATAATATTTGTTATAAAGCAATTCTCATCCAATAGCTTCGTCCCACTATCACAATCGGAACAAATCAACATCATTAATGAGTAACAACTTCATATCATACACACAATTAGACAATTCCCTAAGGTTTTCAATGCTGCAACGTATGTTTTGGGATTAATCATGTAGTGCTTGCGTGCAATGATTAATAATAATAAATATTGAGTGTAAAATTAATATGCACTACAAGTTTTACATTAGTTAATGAAAAAAGATAAGTTGGTGATTAGTGAAATAAGTAGGGTTAAAATTATAAAAAGTCATCATGGACTTTGTACCCCAACACAAATCCCTTGGGGTGAAATTCTGTAGTCCGTGAGGTCCATGGATTTGGACCCTTAGGGGTCTTTTGCATGAGTCATTTGCTCAAATATAGTCATCCGAGAAATGTAGACATTTTCGAATGTAGACATTTGCAAATTCATTGTGTGTTAAATAGTTTTTAGATGAGTAATTCATAAATGGGTCATTTGTATAATGTTACCATTTTTTTTTGATGAAGCGGTTGGGATTTCATTTCATCAAAAACAGGGACCAAGTACATCGCTGGCAACAGCTCTGCCAGCTGAGCAGAAGGGAGAAACAATCCCTAAAACACTCAAAGACCTATCAAGTCACTCAAAAGAATAGACATACAACTGAAGGCTCAACCATTACTCTAATATCTCCTTGAACTCTCTGAACTAAGGCATGGAAATCATGCTGCTTCCCTGCAAACTTAATCAAGCAACGCTCTCTCCATATTGACGCAACCAATGCCTGCCATATCAGCTTCCCTGCTTGTGCAACAACAGTGGAGCCTTTGAAAGTAGTCAAGGCCCACTGAAGTTCTCCCTCCCATTGATCACCAGGGACTCGCACTGCAAATTTACCAAACAGAGCTGCAAACAACTGCTTAAACAAAGGACAAACAGCAAACAAATGAGTTCGAGTTTCCAGAATGCAAGGGCAGAAAGCACAGCCAATATCACCAGGACCTCCCCACCGTTGAACCTTCTCACCAGTAGTAATGCAATCCGTAACAACCAACCAAACCAGAAATTGATTTTTGGGGATGCAAGCACCTTTCCAAACCAATTTCCCCCAAGAAACTTTGTCCTTCTTTGGGAGGATTTCCTCCCAAACCTTCCTTGTACAGAACTTGTCCATAAGAGACCCCTTCCAGTAAACACTATCACCAGCAACAGAGATCAATCCCCTAAGTTTGTCTCTGATTTTCAAGACCTTCTGCCACAACCAGGACCCTGCTTTTGAGGTAAGAGTCCAGAAATTCCCTCCTCTTATTCGATATTCCCATAGCCAAGCCACCCATAATGATCCCTGTCTAATCAAAACAGCCCAGATATGTCTAACTACACAAGCAAGATTCCAAGTATGCAAGTCTTTAAGTCCAAACCCCCCTTCATTTTTAGGGAATGTAATCCGAGACCAAGCCACCACTGCCTTTTTCCTAGCACCCTCACCTACTCCCCATAAGAAATCACTACACATTCTCTCTACAGTTTTTATGATAGCCTTTGGCAGAATGAAAATCGACATCCAGAAATGAGCCATACTATATAACACAACCATCACCAGTTGAAGTTTGCCAGCATAAGATAACGTTTTAGACTTCCAACTATTGATTCTGTGCATGACTTTGTCAATTAAAGGCTTACAAGCCTTGATGGAAAGCTTACCAGGGAGCAGGGGAAGGCTTAAGTAACGAACTGGGAGTGCCCCTAGCTTGTACCCTGAGTGCTGAGACATCAGCACCTGCCATTGAGCATCAATACCACCACAGTATAGTTCACATTTGGAAGGATTTGATTTCAAACCAGACATGTATCTAAATTCATCCAAAACCTTCTTAATACACTGAATACCAAAGTTAGAGCCATCAGAGAATAGCAATAAATCATCCGCAAACATCAAGTGTGTAATCTTCAATCTCTTACACATGGGGTGAAAAGGCATAGCATTTCGAGAAACAGCCTTGTGCATCAAGCAGGAGAAAACCTCCATTGCAACAGCAAAGAGGTAAGGGGAAAGAGGATCCCCCTGCCTCAACCCTTTCTTTGCTGGGAAGAAACCAACTGACCCCCCATTAAACCCAATGCTGAACTTTGGGGTAGTGACACACATTCTCAACCAATTAAGGAATTTGTTTGGAAAACCCATGGCCTCAAGTACTCTAAATAGAAAAGTCCAATTGACAGAGTCAAAGGCTTTCATTAAATCAACTTTAACTAAGGTCCTCGAAGAAATATTCTTCCTGCCATACTTCTGAACTAGTTCATGAGCCAATAGGATATTTTCCCCTATAATCCGACCCTTAACAAAAGCTGTTTGTGATTCACTAATAACACAAGGCATTACTGCACTTAACCTAGTAGCAAGAATCTTAGCAATGCATTTATAGAGTATATTACAGCATGCTAT